TGTAGTATATATATATTGGTAGTTTATTATATATATATATATATATATGTATGTATGTATGTATGTCTGTCTGTCTGTCTGTATGTATATATGTATGTATGTATGTATGTATGTATGTATGTATATATGTATGTATGTGTATATATATGTATATATATATATATATATGTATTTATATAAATATATATATATACATACTATGTACGCATATTATTTTTCTTCTACAGAAACAGGCGCAACCTAACCACCAAACCCATAATACCATGCACAGCCACAACATTACCGAGACGCTTCTTGCGCGTATGGGTGATCGTGTGCACATCCACATATTTGACTCAGCTGTACCGCCGCCGGAGAAGCGCAACGAGAACATCACGTACATCAGTGGTGACGTGAAAGTTATTGGACATCTGGAGAGAGCCTTCAACTCCGTCAACGGCCACCTGGCTACTGTCTTTCATCTGTATGTTACTGTGGCGCAGTTGTAAGCACGCACGTGTGTCCTACGAATGGAAGTATTTGGAATGGTGTTGCAGTGTGTATGGTGTAGTCTACTACATGGACATTATGGTACCCACCAACCACATATGTCTGGGTGAGATCTTAACGTTATCGGATGGTGTGTTCTACTACATGGGCATTATGTTACCTACCAACCACATGTGTCAGGGTGAGATCTTAATGTTATCGGGCCTGTGGAGCATGCAGCCAACTCTGTTGATTGTCACATAGAGGTATATCTGTATTTGCCACGAGAACGTCCTCCGAACAGTATACTAATACATTACATTAGTGTATGTATAGTATATACTATTACATTACGTTAGTGTATGTATAGTATATACTAATACATTACGATGGTGTTTGTATGCTATATGCATACCTACCACTATTCAGCCTTCTGTTGTACGTTCGTGTTTCTCCTCTGTATGTGTGTGCACGACCGGTGTCCCCATGTGCTCGTGTGTAGTAGTTTCAGTTGTTGTGGTGTTGGCTGGGATATACTTTAACACTAACCCTACAACCCAACAACCTTATAACCTTACAACCATATAACCCAACAACCCTATAGCCCTATAACCCTACAACCCAACAACCTTATAATCCTACAAACATATAACCCTACAACCCTTTATCC